CCGTGAGGTCAATGATCTCATGTGGGAAAAGTACTTTCAAAAGTGCAATCAGTACTATGAAGTCTTAAATGATTGGCTTGGAAAATGGCCATCACCTTCCTGCTATGACGGCATGGTGCCTTTGCACAAGGGATGGGAAGGGGCAATATGATGGCCGACCGATTGTCCCCTACTCAGCATTTGGTGCAGCTGGGCATCATAATGGAATCATGATGACAGAAGGCCTTGCAAAGACACTGTTTTGGCTTGTAGAAGGCGGCAAAAGATTTCAATATAATCAGAATTCTTTTGCCGCATGGCACGATGGCGGCTTGCGAGCTGATGACACATTTAAGCTTCCGAAGAAGGTATATGTGACAACATCTGGAGGGAATCAGCAGGTTAAGCCATATGCGTCTGTACTGACTTTGCTATCGCAGTGCGGAGAGATTGTTGCTGCTGTCTGGAAGACAAGCATGTCCCACGCCGCAAATAGACTTATTCTACAGGGACTTAAGATTGCAAGGGATCATGTTGGCGCGCCACCTTTACGTCTACTCCAAACAGACAATCCTATAGGGGAACAAGCACCTTACTATGAAGTATTTCCAGAACTGGAACAGGGCACAGTGGCTCGTGCTTCACTTCCAATGATTGAAATACCGCCTGATGACATTGTTTCTTTTGATGTTGGCAGTGCCCTCGATGCTTACATCTTGACCCTAATAGACATCTTTATTCAGCATGAGGATCAAGAAATCTACTATGGTTTGGATACAGAGTTTGAGAGAGACAGCAAACTTACAGTATTGTCGCTGGCATTCCCTCAGTCATTGAGAGGATCAGAACTAGGAACAACGATCCCTATTGCCATTGTCATTCACCTTCACAAGATTGGCAAGGAGCAGTTTCCTGCTGACTTAAAGCGCCTCTTGGAGCTTCCAAATATGATTCCAACCGGACGCCTGATTGGAGGTGATTGTAAGAAGCTAGAGGAACAGTATGGTATTAAGTTCAATAGAATGATTGAGCTAGGTAACTTGTGTCGATTGGACAATGGTGAGCTTTCAAGCTTTTCCCTTTGCAACTTGATGAAAGTGTACCTCCAGTGCATATACCCAATGAACAAGTCAGCTGCGCAGTTGTCTAGCTATGCAAAACCAACACTGACACCTACAGACAAACAATACTGCGCACTTGAAGCAGGGTGTCACTATGGGTTTTTCACCGGACGGTAGAATCATTAGCAAATGGCATTGGTAATCAACATCCAACTTTGCAGGTTGGGAAACGGTGCACGGTGACACATAATGCAAAAGATATTGCTGTTGGGCATCTGATCTTTGTTGGCGCCGGAGGCGAACAGTTGCGGTGGGGTGGTATGACATTGGGCAGAAGGGACTGCCTTGTTGCTATTGAAAGTCTTATCGACGAAGACTTTCAACCAAAACGAAGGAACTTGACTTGGCCAGCAACTGCAGAGACAATGAGAGAGCTTCACAACAATGTTCCCAATTTAGGACTGGCAGTGGCTGCAACGCAAGTCAGGATCCATCTAGATGGCAGTGAATGCCAACCATCGAGCACACCTGAGATGCTAAGTGAGGCCAATATTCAATCCTTCCAAGTTGACAAGAGTTATCTTGATGTGCTTCTTCGGAAGGCAACTGAGGCAGTACCAATGGAAGACAGGGAGGATACTGATCTGCTGGTTGAGGGTGAAGAAAACTGTGAGCAGCAGTGGGAAGAGCAACAAGGGTGAGGCTGAGACTGGTGCATTGACAAACTCGCTGCGTGATCTTTTTCACCAGCTTCATTGCTTACCATTATCAAAAAAATCTCCGGCTATTGCACATGTTCTCCAGCTGGTTCTTGTTGCGACTTGGATCAGTGACGAAGAGGATTATGCAAATGTTGTTGAGGTGTTGCAAAACAAAGGCGAAGAGGATGTCGCTGTCCACGAGTTCCATCATCGTGGCTACTGGCGGGAACGTGTTCGAAGAAATACGTCATTGCCCCAGGATCATGCAAATAATATTCGAGTGGTGCAACATGAAATCTGGAGCAATTGTGGATTCGTCAGCATTAGAACCAAGGAGATAGCACAATGGTTTGATAAGTTTGCTGACAACGCTGAGAATGGATTTTACTACATACCTCCAGATATGAGAATGTACAGGATCGATAGGGTGGATTGTGATGGATTGAAGGTGTACACCACAGACTTTGGAACCAATCTCAATGAGTCACTACATCAGAAATACGCGGACTTGGTGGGACCATTTGCAGTGGGAGCCGAAACGGCAGATGTGCTGCTTGTCAACCGATCATTCCGTTTCAATATTGCTGTTGGAATATCAAAATACGGTGAGCCAGACTTTCATACTGAGCGACATGACATTGTTGACAAGACGCAGCACTGGATGATGCACATCTTTGCAACTTATGCTTGGCCAACACACAAGAACTTACTGGATTTCAGCCCACCAAAGAATGCCACTCTCGTAGGCCTTCGCCCACTTCCGCTCAATGAAAACCATGTGAGATATTCCAAGTCGCCAAATGCAGGTCTATCGCCAGATCACAGATACTTGTCACAGAAACTTGGGGTCGAGATTGCACCAGTGCCTCTATCAACCAAAGATGAGTTCCAACTGTATACTTTCCACATCAGGGGGATTGTTGCGATGTCAAGGAACCCAAACCAAAACGACTGGGATAATCTTGCAAGAAAGTTTCTTGAGAAGGCAAATGGAAAGAGCATCTTTCCAAAGACCGAAGATCAATTGAAAAAATATTTTATTCATTGGAAACAGAACCAGTCCAAACGCCTCTTTGGCAAAGCGGTCAACATTAAAAACTCAAAAGTTTTCAAGCAACTCCAAAGCCAAAAGGCGTCCTCCGTTTCGGTGATACACAAAACAAAACTGCCAACGCAAGTTGAAGGCACATACTATTCCCACAAGCAACCTTTGGCCAACAAGGTAAACGTAGTGCCCCCAGACGTGGCGTACAATCAAATAAACCATGTGCCATTCGAATCCAAGCTGCAAAAGAAATCAAAACAGAAAAAGGGGCCAACCACGTTTGAAGACCTACAGAAGAAGTCATCAAGGGACCTCAAACGGGTTGCTCATCGATGTGTTTGGTTTCCCTATTGTCAAAAGCAAGTATGGGCCTGTTGGGGCAACAAATTTTCCAATTGCAAGTTCATCAATGAAGAACACAAAATCAATAAAAAGTCGAGTGCTGAGATCGACAAAAGAAAGAGGTTTGTCAGACTGGAGAAGGAGAAAGAAACCGCAACAAGGGCTCGAAAAAGGCAGAGGGTGATAAAGGGCATTGTGGCAAAAGCAAGAACACAAAAAAACAAAGCGGGTTCTCACCTCACAACGAAAGTGGACAAAGGAACCAAAACGTCCGACACCATTGCAATTCCAGAAGAAGAGTATCTGAGCCAAAAATGTATAGTGTTAGGCAGTGAGAAAATCATTGCAGACACTTTGCTTCAGGCTCTTGCGACACCTACCGTTATGATTGACGATGAAGTTGTCAATGCATACCTATCGCTTCTTGTGGACTTGGCGCATTACTCAAGAAGAAGAGCAGGCGTTGGGACCACTCAATCGGGAATCTGGCAAATGCTTACAAATCGTCACTACACATGGAGGGAAATCTATCCAACTCTGAATCGACCACACCGAGTGAATCTCATCCCGGCATTCTTTGGAAGCCGAGCGGCTGGGCATTGGGGAGCCCTAATTGTGGACAATGAATGCTCACCTGGGCAAAGAAAGATTATCTACGTTGATAGTATCTCATCTGTAAGAAAAGATAATTTCAACACAGTAAAACGATTGTTGAGACAGTGGGAGAGTGATACGAACAATTTTGTGCAAATGGACTCACCCAGCCAGGCCTTGGGCTCCAATGATTGTGCAGTGTACACTCTTGCTGCATGTGCTCACTATGTATTCCGCACTGGCGATTTCCTGCCAACTTCATTTCAATTCCGAAATGATATTAATGCAACCCGGTATGGTCGAGAGTGGAGACGCCATGTTCACAAGTCAATCATGAACCAGAGGATTGATATGAGCGACCCCGTTCTCGGTTGGATGGTTCTTCGACCATAGAATAGGAGATAAATTAGAAATGTTCTAAATCTCATTTGACAGGATTACTAGTCTTCCAATCCAACGTTTCACACAAAGTACTTACATCAGAATAGCAAGTAGGTAGTAACAACGAAAATATCGATACCTTCTTGTTTTGTCTTGCTGCGGTATTGAATGCAAACGCTTTGACCGACCATCAAAAAGACAAAGCACCTCGAATCTCGTTTAAGCAGTGCAGTAGCAAGATAAATCCCACTCCGCTTCTGCTTTCAAGTGGATTGTTGGATTTATCGATACCTTCTTGTTTTGTCTTGCTGCGGTATTGAATGCAAACGCTTTGACCGACCATCGAAAAGGCAAAGCACCTCGAATCTCGTTTAAGCAGTGCAGTAGCAAGATAAATCCCACTCCGCTTCTGCTTTCAAGTGGATTGTTGGATCGCTGCATTCTGATCAAACGGCGCCTACTGTACTCAAATCGAGAGCGCCGATGCCGATTTTCAATTTGTTCGAACTCTGGTCTTCATTGATGCGCAACACTCCTGTCTGTTTTGCATCATGGCTATTTAGCGTCTGTTGTGGTCAGTGTCGTGCGCTGTCGTGCTCCATCGCTCTTGTTTCTTGTTGGAGGCTGGCGATCGAAGTGTTATCAATTGAACCAATGATGACAAGCACAATGATGATGATGCTTGCAACCAGCTCCCGTCAAAAACGGTACGAAAACGGACGAAATATGCCTCTGCTATAGTCATATCCGGGTCGCTTAACCACCCTATTTTTTGAAATCAAATATTGTTGGTCTGTTCTTCGATCTTTGGGCATTCCAAGCAGAAAGGTGCCGTCATCGTATGGGTAGTATGAAAAATACGGCGATTTTCAAATATTCGTCACCTATTTTATGGAATACCTGCCGCCGAAATGGAAGACTTTCTCTTCTGATTTAAATTTTTGGAAACGTCTTCATCCGTCGCCGGATATTGTCAGTCTTGGACAGTATTGGATGATACGTCCTCCCAAGAGGGGGTACGGTTGATATTAGCCCAATTCGGAGTACAAGGTTCTCTGATACATCAGTATCACCTTGAGGGGACCGTTAATTGGACCAGAGAGTGTCCGTCATTCGTACGTTAGATAGTTTAACCTAGAGATTCGCACACATCTTGTAAAATCCCCATGTTTGTCATCGTACTCGTTTTCGTCCCGAATCTCTCGTACCTCGCTACTCAATTTAACGAAGGAGAGCTGGTTATTCCTCTATCTGCTTTTGTGTCAGTTCGAAACGAGACTAGATAAGATCCGATAAAAAAAATGGCGCACCACCAATGACACCACAAAAAGTGGAAGAAAGCGTAGTTTACGACAGAGCACCAACGACATAGTCGGATCCACTGTCAATAGTTTCACATCATCACCACAACAAACACCTGAAAATGGATTTTGACGAATCCCGTCTATACTTCTCCCACCAGCAACTCACAGGCTCAAATGAGGGGGGTGAAGAGAATCATGAAGAAGAGGAAGTTGGTGCTTCCATTGATCTTCAAGCCGTTCGTCGTCACTTTCGAGAATTTCTTCGTAAGCGTAGTGTTGGCCTACCTCTTTCAAATTATCCTTCCAACAGGTTTTCTGACACAGACTTTTTCAGGGAATTATCGACTTGGGGCACAGAAGTATATCTACAGAGAAAAACTCCTTCGAATGCAACGTCGACTTCGCAGCAACGGTTTGTCGTCCACCGAATCTAGCACAGCAAAACTGGAGATTGATGTGGCCCATCTCGGTGAATATGACGGATCTCTTTTGGGATATCTCCGAGACCAACCGGCAGCACTTTTACCTGCAATCGAGCTAGCCGCAGGAGATGCCTTGAAAACACTCTTGTACGACTTGAGAAAGGAAAACCTTGATGCAGAGGCTGATGATGACATGGTAGACCAACCAATAGTTTCAAACGAAAGGATCAATCAGCTTGACAATCTTCCTTCAATTCAAATTCTTCTGAAAGGAAACCTTGGGTTCACCCCTTTAAGAAGCATAAAGAGCGAGCACGTAAATCGGCTCATACGGTGCCCTGGGATTGTCATATCCGCTGCCCCTGTACGAAGTCGAGCGACGCAGCTGGTGGTGCGATGTCCTCGCTGCCTTGACACTCAAACCCTTGTTTCCACAGATGGACCGTTTGGTTCCACAGTTTTTCCGGCGCGCTGCAATGGTCCCGAAGCTGGTGAATGTGGGTCCAGCCCGTATGCTATTGTTCCAGACGAGTCTAGCTTCTGCGACAGGCAGACTCTCAAGCTCCAAGAAGCCCCTGATAAAGTTCCCACTGGAGAAATGCCCCGGTCAGTCTTAGTCGCTGTTGAAAGAAGCCTAGTCGACTCAGCACCACCTGGAACGAGGGTTTCTGTTTTCTGCATTCCAACTCTTTTTACAAGTTCGAGTGCAGGAAGCAAATCAATATACTTGCGCGTTGTCGGACTTTCGAGAGGCAATCAGTCTGGCGACGGGGTTCAGTTTACACCTGTCGAAGAGGAAGCGTTCGCAAAGCTTGCAAAGTGCCCTGATGTTTATGATATTCTGACAAGATCTATGGCCCCAAGCATCAGCGGTTCTTATACTGTTGACATTAAGAAGGCGTTAGTTTGCATGCTCATGGGAGGAAGTCGCAAGCGTCTACCTGATGGAATACGACTACGGGGTGATATAAATGTATTACTCTTGGGCGACCCTTCCACAGCAAAATCCCAGTTCCTAAAATTTGTTTCCCGAGTTGCGCCAGTTGGAATTTACACCTCGGGAAAAGGGTCCTCTGCTGCTGGTTTGACAGCAAGCGTTGTCAAGGATTCAAAAGGAGAATTCTACTTGGAAGGTGGTGCAATGGTTTTGGGTGACGGTGGAATTGTTTGCATCGACGAGTTTGACAAAATGAGACCTGCAGATAGAGTTGCAATCCACGAAGCAATGGAACAACAGACAATTAGCGTTGCAAAAGCTGGAATCACGACGGTCTTGAACAGCAGATCTGCGGTCTTAGCTGCAGCAAATCCAGTGTATGGCCGGTATGATGACTTCAAGAGTGCTTCCGAAAACATTGATTTGATGTCTACGATTCTTTCTCGGTTTGACCTGATTTTCCTTGTGAGGGATATGAGAGAAGAAGAAAGAGACAGGATGATTTGTAAGCACGTCATGGGAGTGCACATGGACAAAGAGGGTGGACAGCCAACAAGCATTGACAACTCTATTGTCTCCCCCAACGGTGAAAGGTAGGCTGACTGTTTTTGCTGCGCACCTGCTCAAATAAAGACTCATAAATCACCCACATCGCAGAACCGAGAATGATGCTTCAGCAATCGCAGATAATGTCATGAGAGTGGCTCAGACTGGTAGAGGAGAGCTTAGCGTACCAGCAATGAAGAAGTATGTTCAGTACTGCAAAATTAGGTGCAAGCCAGTCCTAACAGAAGCAGCAGGCAAGGTTCTGACAAGTTCTTACGTCAAAATTCGAGATGATGTTCGCCAGAGATCTGTTCAGGCACACCAGACTGGTGGAGACAATGCACAGTCACCAATACCAATTACAGTCAGGCAACTGGAAGCGTTGGTTCGAGTTTCTGAGAGCCTTGCTAAGATGAGACTAGACTCCAAAGTGAAAGTTGATGATGTAAACGAGGCGCTGCGGTTATTTCGTGTTTCAACCATGGCAGCAAACTCTGCGGACCAAAACTTGTCAGATCTTTCGATCCTCGTAGCGACCAGCGGTGATGACGTTCGATGCGTCCAACAGCTTGTTGTGAGTAGGTTAGCCGTTGGAAAAATGGTCAACAAGCAGAATCTGGTTGAGGAAGCTTCTGGTTTAGGTTACAATGCGTCCATTGTTGTCCGCGTTTTGTCTGCTATGATCATGCGTGGAGAGTTGATTGAACGGAACCAGGGACGACTCATCAAAAGGGTAAAATGATACTAGTGCATCGTATTATTCTAGTTGAGACTCGTTCTAACAGCGCATCCGCCAGTCAAAAAAAGAAAGACGAGTAGCTTGAAATAGCCTGCTGTACGTCCATTTTCGTTATTACAAACTACTCTTGTCATATTCGAGCGGACATGCCCCCCTCCAATCTAATTTCAAATTTTCTATTGGTATCGAAGTTTGCAATTCACCAATCCTCATTGTCGTCCTCAAATTTTGCGAAACGATAGTGGCATATATCCCCTCTGTTTCTGAGAGCCTTGCTAAGATGAGACTAGACTCCAAAGTGAAAGTTGATGATGTAAACGAGGCGCTGCGGTTATTTCGTGTTTCAACCATGACAGCAAACTCTGCGAACCAAAACTTGTCAGATCTTTCGATCCTCGTAGCGACCAGCGGTGATGACGTTCGATGCGTCCAACAGCTTGTTGTGAGTAGGTTAGCCGTTGGAAAAATGGTCAACAAGCAGAATCTGGTTGAGGAAGCTTCTGGTTTAGGTTACAATGCGTCCATTGTTGTCCGCGTTTTGTCTGCTATGATCATGCGTGGAGAGTTGATTGAACGGAACCAGGGACGACTCATCAAAAGGGTAAAATGATACTAGTGCATCGTATTATTCTAGTTGAGACTCGTTCTAACAGCGCATCCGCCAGTCAAAAAAAGAAAGACGAGTAGCTTGAAATAGCCTGCTGTACGTCCATTTTCGTTATTACAAACTACTCTTGTCATATTCGAGCGGACATGCCCCCCTCCAATCTAATTTCAAATTTTCTATTGGTATCGAAGTTTGCAATTCACCAATCCTCATTGTCGTCCTCAAATTTTGCGAAACGATAGTGGCATATATCCCCTCTGTTTCTGAGAGCCTTGCTAAGATGAGACTAGACTCCAAAGTGAAAGTTGATGATGTAAACGAGGCGCTGCGGTTATTTCGTGTTTCAACCATGACAGCAAACTCTGCGAACCAAAACTTGTCAGATCTTTCGATCCTCGTAGCGACCAGCGGTGATGACGTTCGATGCGTCCAACAGCTTGTTGTGAGTAGGTTAGCCGTTGGAAAAATGGTCAACAAGCAGAATCTGGTTGAGGAAGCTTCTGGTTTAGGTTACAATGCGTCCATTGTTGTCCGCGTTTTGTCTGCTATGATCATGCGTGGAGAGTTGATTGAACGGAACCAGGGACGACTCATCAAAAGGGTAAAATGATACTAGTGCATCGTATTATTCTAGTTGAGACTCGTTCTAACAGCGCATCCGCCAGTCAAAAAAAGAAAGACGAGTAGCTTGAAATAGCCTGCTGTACGTCCATTTTCGTTATTACAAACTACTCTTGTCATATTCGAGCGGACATGCCCCCCTCCAATCTAATTTCAAATTTTCTATTGGTATCGAAGTTTGCAATTCACCAATCCTCATTGTCGTCCTCAAATTTTGCGAAACGATAGTGGCATATATCCCCTCTGTTTCTGAGAGCCTTGCTAAGATGAGACTAGACTCCAAAGTGAAAGTTGATGATGTAAACGAGGCGCTGCGGTTATTTCGTGTTTCAACCATGACAGCAAACTCTGCGAACCAAAACTTGTCAGATCTTTCGATCCTCGTAGCGACCAGCGGTGATGACGTTCGATGCGTCCAACAGCTTGTTGTGAGTAGGTTAGCCGTTGGAAAAATGGTCAACAAGCAGAATCTGGTTGAGGAAGCTTCTGGTTTAGGTTACAATGCGTCCATTGTTGTCCGCGTTTTGTCTGCTATGATCATGCGTGGAGAGTTGATTGAACGGAACCAGGGACGACTCATCAAAAGGGTAAAATGATACTAGTGCATCGTATTATTCTAGTTGAGACTCGTTCTAACAGCGCATCCGCCAGTCAAAAAAAGAAAGACGAGTAGCTTGAAATAGCCTGCTGTACGTCCATTTTCGTTATTACAAACTACTCTTGTCATATTCGAGCGGACATGCCCCCCTCCAATCTAATTTCAAATTTTCTATTGGTATCGAAGTTTGCAATTCACCAATCCTCATTGTCGTCCTCAAATTTTGCGAAACGATAGTGGCATATATCCCCTCTGTTTCTGAGAGCCTTGCTAAGATGAGACTAGACTCCAAAGTGAAAGTTGATGATGTAAACGAGGCGCTGCGGTTATTTCGTGTTTCAACCATGACAGCAAACTCTGCGAACCAAAACTTGTCAGATCTTTCGATCCTCGTAGCGACCAGCGGTGATGACGTTCGATGCGTCCAACAGCTTGTTGTGAGTAGGTTAGCCGTTGGAAAAATGGTCAACAAGCAGAATCTGGTTGAGGAAGCTTCTGGTTTAGGTTACAATGCGTCCATTGTTGTCCGCGTTTTGTCTGCTATGATCATGCGTGGAGAGTTGATTGAACGGAACCAGGGACGACTCATCAAAAGGGTAAAATGATACTAGTGCATCGTATTATTCTAGTTGAGACTCGTTCTAACAGCGCATCCGCCAGTCAAAAAAAGAAAGACGAGTAGCTTGAAATAGCCTGCTGTACGTCCATTTTCGTTATTACAAACTACTCTTGTCATATTCGAGCGGACATGCCCCCCTCCAATCTAATTTCAAATTTTCTATTGGTATCGAAGTTTGCAATTCACCAATCCTCATTGTCGTCCTCAAATTTTGCGAAACGATAGTGGCATATATCCCCTCTGTTTGAACTTGCATCCCTATCCAACCCTAGTGCCACAGTCCCCTGATTCCATCTATATGCCCATATTTGGCTACCCATGTGTTAGGCGCAACTTTGTGACAGTCACCCCATGTCGACTATCCAATATGAACGTAAGAAAACCAGTAGCAGACAACAGTATAGTTTAAAATGGAATTTTTTTGGAAATTATCGCATCAATGACTTCAAGACTTCTCCAAGTTCGGTGGAAATTATAAAAGCACCTTCACATGTCCTTATGAAGAATATACGGAAGAGGACGAGGTAATCTAATGGAGAAATGACTATCTGATAATGGTAAATGTTGATAGCTGCTACGAGTATCATCGTTGCGATCGTAACGTTAATAGACGTTTGAACACGCATTTAATAAATTGCTATGATTCCGTTATGGTTGGAGTCTTTGTGAATCTTCGTACATATTATACATACGCTTAAAACGAAAGGTTTTTCTAATACTCAAACACTCTGTTTCCGAAGCATCCAGCTTAATGGAACAACAATGAATAAATCCTTTTTATGCAATGCGCGATCTATCAATGGAATCACAGGTGATATTTCACGATGGCAAATCTGAAATTTGAAAAGAAGGGGCTAACCCTAACTGCTAAGAGAGCAACTGAAGCTTATTAAGCAGCCCCCTAGCTGTAATATAACTAGAGTGCTCACTCCTATAGTTGGCAAATTTAACGTCTGAAAACAACAATAGTAGCATCTTTCCGCTGAGTCGAAAAAATAGGATTCTGAACACAAGGAGCTAAGATTTTGAGGAACCACAATGGTAGCATCTTTCCGCCGAATCGTAAAAATTAGGATGATAATGGCTATAATTTGCAAATCTGACATCTGGAAACAAAGAGTAGAATCTGTACTGTATTTGCCTTCTATAAATTGAACCTGGTTTGACTACAAGTCACTTTTCGACTTTCCGAAAGTGGAATATATGGCCACTTTCATCATTACAACCTATCAGACGACTTCTTCTTACGCCTTCGGTCCATCTAACCTACACGTAGGTATCAAGTGACTTTTGTGACATTTTGGCTCGCGCTTAAGTGACCCCATGGTGCAAGAATGCATGATAGACATGCCTCTTCTTCTCTAATGCTCCAGGTTGATCAAAAAATTGGACTAGTCTTAAAAGTGCAAAGAAAGTCAGTCAAAAATTAAGGCTACGTCACTCCAAAATATTTAAAATATGTTTCGATTGATAGTGGTGAATAAAATCTACTGTGTTGATAGCTGTATATTTTTCCTTCGTTAAATTAAAACTTGGTTTTATGATAGTTCATTTTCGCTTATCCACTATTGGTGCCACCAATTCAAGCCAACGAATTCTCTGTGATGGATTCTCCTCCAGACACTCTTCAAGACGTCATTGTGGTCTGAAAAGTTCACAAAAACCTCACCATTGTAGTTTTCCCCGCTTTGGGAAGATCTAAAGATTTCGAAGCCATTGAAGTTTCAATGTGCAATCGTGTAAATGTCGCTGCTAAGCTCCTAGGTTAGTTTCTGTCTTTTTGCTTCTACATGACTGCTTTGTCGTCTTCTGTCAGATTGTACACTGCGGATCGCTTCTGGTAAATCGAAGCTAATGCAATACATGTTCTTCTTTGGCGATACATTTCGAACATCAATAACTTTGACTTGGTTTTCGTCAATATCTAGTGTGCATCCTAATGCAGATTCACAACGTTTTACAGCGTCTTTGGCGGCTTCGTTGTGGTCTTTTGGAGCAAAGCAATGAACGTGGATTCTTGGTAGCCGGACTCCTCTGAACCCTCTGAACGCATCAAGAAATTCCGGGGCTGTCGCAGGCAAATTCATTATTACGTGTGAAAAAACGATACCAGAGTCCTGTAGATATTTACAGAAATCCCGAGCATCCATGTTGTAGCACAAAAGTCGAGTGCATCTGTTTTTCCTCGAATTCGAGAGCAAGTAGTTGTATGACTCCGGGTTTAAGTCGTTGGCATGGACTTCAATCTTGTGCCCCTTTGACGTCAATGGAATAGCGAAAGGTCCAATTCCGGCCATCAAGTCGGCCACGATGACTGGTGAGTCAGCGTCTTTTGCTTGATCTGCGATGATCTGGGTCAGCCTTCTATGTTCACCACCCAACCTCGAATTCCAGTAGACTTTTGTGAAATCCATTTCGAATTGACAACCTTCCTCCTTCACACTGACCAGTGACCAGCCGTCAGCTTTATTTCCAGCGATCACCTCCATGTTGAAAGTGCGGTATTTGGATTCTATGGATGCTAACTTATTTACAACAGTCTGGATACGAGGAGAGTTTTTGTCGAGTATCACCTTCCCAATCATGTACTTGAATGGCAGCAAATCATCTCTTAGATTTAAATGTGCCAACCGACCAATTTGTTCAAAAGAGGATGGGACATCGTTAGGGGGAAAGGGTAAAAGTCTAGATAGTACCTCGTGTGTCGACCAGTCTTCATATGATTGAGAAAGTTCGTGGTTCGCTTTGAAACATCCTTCGTTCCTGAGCAATTTCGCAATTTTTTCCTCATCAAAGATGTTCGATCTTTTCGTCAGTAAAATTTTCCTATGCTTTCGTCGTTCCAAGCCAACGGGAATGATATCGTCGTCTCCAAGAGGGACAATGACCTTCAGTTTTGCTTTGTCCAAAACAAATTCCTTCAACTGTTTCCGATATTCGGAGACGAGTTTCGATGGAACGACAATGGCTGGTACGATGAGTGACACATCGAACTCTTTCGCTGCAGGGAAAAGTTCGACTGGGTAGATGTACTCTGGATTCGCAGGTGATGGCAAAAGAGACGTTTTCTGCGTTCGTATGCTGTCTGCAATGAGAGAAGAAGACTGGTTCATGGTCCAGTTTGTGATTTTCCAAACGCAGTCGATGTTTAATGGGCGCGAAGTAACTTTTAAAAAAAAATCTCCATAAAACAAACCTTTTTCGAAGTCTCTCTCTAGTAGAAAATATCGAAAAACAAGCACATTATATTTACCAAAAGACACCGGCACGGTCAGTCTGACCTCCACCTCCCACATCTGGTGAACCAAATCGGAGTGGAAGGACAGACCCATCAAATAATTCACGAATTTTCACAAGTTCAAATACTGCTTGTATTCAAATACTGCTTGTATTTTATACTGTATGATACGATAGTTACTATTTGTACTCAAAAGTTGGTAGCGGAATCGAAGCTTTTTAAAAACACCTGAAGACAAAGTAAAAGAGCTGTTGGCTCTACTAGATACGATTTGACTGTACATATACTATATCTAATATGATTTTGGTGCTGGTACCGGTACACTGGTCCCTCCGTCTTTGCAATGTGTCCACACAAATCAGTGTGGGGAATATGAATAATATCAAACTAGACAAGAGAGCAAAACCTGAAAAGCAACAAAGCAGTTGCCGCCTTGTAGAATGATTACATGTTGCAGATTGAAAAGCAGGTGCTGCCAACAAGGGACGAAGGTGGCTGAAGGAAGCCAATGAGCCATTCGAACAAGACTATTGAACCATCTCTGAATCATCTATGTGGTGGTGATGATGCAGAGCCGAGTATTGTTTTGCGTCAAATAAAGCAGACACTACATACACTGCTGTATCAATAGTAGTAGCAGATCCAGGTGATGACAATTTAAGGCAAAACATTGTTGGTGTCAGCATACACACACAAAACATAGGTTGAATGGAGGATGACCTATTCACCAAGATCCACAATAACAATGAAGACAACGATGACAATCATAATGACAATCCATGATAGCGCTTGCAGAGGCAACGCAGTGTATCAGGAGATGACGACAAGAAAGCTGCGGATGGTGGAGGCAACTCAGCATATCCTTACAAATGAAGTCCCAGTCTGACAATACCGTCTGACAAGACCAACTTTTGACCATTCCCAGAGTGCCGGCTCCCAACATGGTGAACAACATGGCTTGAATTGAAAATCTAGTGGCGGTATCATTGTCCCAGTTGTAACTAGTGTAGGAAAGTGTGGGGCCGCTAGAAACTGAGATGTCACCAGTCATAGTCAAACCCTAGCCCTCCTTTTCTTGATGACAGTAGCACAGCAGCATCCATACCTGCAGACGATCCAGCCATCTTCATTACTCCAATGCACCAAATCTCCAACCTGTTAAAGCGAGGACTTGGCACAACACAATGAAGCTTTTATGCTACATACTGTTTGTCACTCTGCGCAATGAAAGTTGAGGAACAGATATGTAAAAAGCTCAGTATGCAGAAGCGGATGAAGGAAGAACCCGTCTCTGAGGAATTGGAAGTGCCACTGGCTAGTACTAATGAAAGAAGAAGGAAGATTCAGCTTGTTCACGGATTGGGTTGGAACAACACAAAACAAAAGGACAGCAACAGTGCGTTCTGGTGGTGATGTTTTTTATGTGGTGATGTGTGATGTGTGTAATATTTTGTCTTCGCTGTTTCTGCGAGCAGTATTTCTGCGAGCAAGCCGGGTGTAGTCGTTGTGTTGGAGGTGGAGGTCAGACTGACCGTGCCGGTGTCTTTTGGTAAATATAATGTGCTTGAAATATCCAAATGGAGCAAAAGCGGAAAAAGTCATTGGCACCCCCGAAAGTGTTCCAAAACCAAAAGGCCCAATGTTATGCTCGTGGGATTTTTAGTGAGCTCTTAGCCAATGAAAGTTAGTCAAATCACTAAAACTGGGTTGATTTTTAGTGGTCTGAGCCAATCACAACGGCCCATTCACAAAACCAATTCGCGCTAAGTTAGTACTCGACAACATCAAAAAGTTATCTTCTACTGAAGCGCGCCAATACTTTCGAAAAGTTTATGTGTGGCTGCCTGATGATAGATGGGGGGCAACTTGTATGCTGGCATGTGTTTGGTGTGGTTCCAACACGAATGTCGGGAATAATGGCTTCCGCAGCAACCATTTTGGGCAAAGAGTAGTTGCACTGGATCATGACTACTAGTACTGTCTTTCAAGACGGTACCGCTATGACTGTGAAAGAAAGGTGAACCAGGTGAAAAGAGGGATTGAGCAAAGAGCCGCAGAGTGCAGTATCCCCATCCAATTGACAGGAGAGGCAGACAACAGTACACATTCATGGCGTGGAATTGCAAATCACTTGAGCTATATCCGCATGGCATTGGTCAAGAATTTCCTGCATTTTTGACTTATGGGTCTGGAGTGGATTGTCTCCTTCTCGACATGATGCGCCCACTCTTTGACAAAGGCTTGCAACCAGGGGCATTTGCGGACACCATTCTTGAATTGCATGCAAAGAGGTACCATCAGGAATGCCTCAAGCATGAATGTGAACTATCAAAGACAGGAAATTTCCTTCAAAAACCTATGCTTTCAGAATTCGGAGACCCCACAAAGTACAACAGCTTTGTTCTGACTGGTTCGTATCTCATGCACGTGTAGTAAAAGTCCTTTCACGGACTCATCAAGGAGGACTTTCTTGACATATATATATATATATATATAACTGAATCATTAATTGGTATTTATGCTACTTCTAGAGTATCCAACTGCCGGTGTAATACGGCTGTAGAGGCCAGGAACTAGGTTGCTTTTGGTCAACAAAGTTTGAACCACGTGGAGGCGTTCAATAGAGGAACGTTGCTCGCAAGTTGAAAGTGTCAAGGGACTATCGGCTCTCCCACGCGAGGTGGGGTGGAGAATATGTATGTGTTAGACTGGGGTACGTGTGGCTTGTGATGTACCAGTACCAGAATCACTTTGGTAAATATGTAGACAAGTAAGTCAGGGGGCTGCT